TACAGTTTTTAATTTTCTCAGCGGATTAGTAATTTCACTGCATCTGTAACGGAAAAATGTGTTGATTCGCTTACATTTTCAAAAGTGCTTAGTTATTTTTGATAATCTCAGGATTTGGTTCTTTTTAGCTAGAGTTTAAATAACTATATTCAGCTAATTTTTTTTTCAAAATTCTTGCTATTTTCAAGCAATTTTCTCATGTCTAAATCAACCACAATATATTATTTAAAAAATTTGAAGGATAATTTAATAAATGCGGATGTAAAAAAGCCAATGGGAATACCATGTATTTAAAGGAAATTGTGCTGATGATGTAAACAACTTTACCGGGGGATTTAATTTATTTCACTATGAAAAGGAATTGTTAAAAATACGGATATTTCTTATTCAAATGATTCTAATTGGTTTTTAAATACTTTAAGATTGTAAATATTATTATTTTAGCCTTTTTTTTAGAAATTGTGAAATGTTTGAATTATGAAAAGTAGCATCTTGTGTGTTAATTCAATGTTCAATGTGTGTTTCATTTTTATTCAGAATGTCCATCTTTTAAATATGATACATTTTTTTAATTCACAAATAGTGTGACAATTCTAAAAATTATGAAACTAATGCTAGAGAGAGAAAGAGGTCTGTGTATGCTGTTTGCGATGCAATGCACATAGACCATCAATTGCAGATATGCTTTTAAATCAAAACAGCGAAATTTCTTGGAGATATATTTCATTATAAATACAGTTTACTTGATGCTGTTTTGGAGGCTATGAGATCTATTTTAGAGATTTATCAAATTTAGTACTATCAAAGTAATGTTAATGTGGTAGTATTGAAAAAAAAATGATTGTGTGAATAACGTGATATGTTCTTCTATGTAAAATAAAACATTTATGCTAATATAAGTAATTTCTTTAAGTAAATATGATACAATATCATCATTTAATATATGTAATGTATAAAAACTACAAATTATATAAAAATTGAACACTGAGCATAGTAATTGTATAAGACAGGCTATAAAATGCCTCGAAAAATGTTGGTTGTTAAGAGCAATATAGTCTTCCTGATAAAAAACAAAGATTAGCAAACTAAAATGACCTAAAAAGAAGAGAGATCATGATGAGGGATTGAAAAATGTGGATTTGTTAGAGTGTAGGGTAGAAATGTTCTGATGGGGTGGTAACTTTACAGTAAAATGGGATTTTCTCAAAATGGGAATTTTTCATTTTCGATATGTACCTTTTTTAAGAAACTATTGTGGTGGTATATAAATAAGCCGGTAACACAGCCTTCGGACAGGAGTGATCACTTTTGTCTAGTGGTATATTACTTGCTTACGAATCCAGTGGCGCATATTCGGAGGATAGAACCCGCGACCTATGGATTCGTAAACAGGTAACATACCTCTAGACAAAAGTGATCACTCCTGTCCGGAGGCTGTTACTGGCTTATTTATATACTGCAGCAGATTCATAAGGAAGAGTATACACTTTCCAGATACTGAAAAACAATAATAGTCAAAGACAGGCATCACCTCAACGAACAGTAAGGTAGATGTACTTTTAAATTTTGTGTCTAGTCCCTGATAGATATGACTTAAACATTAGTGGGGGTGTCATCGGACCAGTCAGTCGAAATGGTGGTGCCCACAATGGAAGAGGCTCTTTGTGTTCTTGAAGTTAGCAAAATTTAATCCATAAATGCTGCTCAATAGCATTTTTGAGCACGATTCGTTAAAAACCTCCAACTAATGGTCCAAACCTTCAACAACACCTAACAATGGTATGAATAATTTAAGGCTTCAGATTGTGATGCAAAAGTGAAAGTCCTATACGAAACTGAGACTGCGTATCACAGCCGCTATCAATGAATTTGATACCTTAACACACGTTTAGGTGGAAAAGATTACTACCTCAATGTGGGGCGTATGACTAAGGTTCCTCACATTGAATATCCGTGACTTCTCTGACAAAACTTAAAATAGTCCCATACAATTCTCTCTCTGTTACAGGTTGCATTCAATATCTTACTTAGTTCTTGATTTATAGTGCATCGAAACTATTAACTTCTTTATGAATTACCTTGTATTTTTATGATGTATTTCCGTTGTTTTCATTCTAGAAATTACACTAGGAGATAGAACCAACCGGTCGGAAGTAATATATCCCTTCTTCATCTTTTGAATGATTAAGAAGTAAATAGCCCATGTGATCTATGAAATTGTTACTATATCGTACGGTTTCTCGCAGAGAGTAGGTTATAAATACAGGGTTATCAGAAAAGATGGACCCGATTTTAAAAAATCATATTATGGGAGCTAATGCACGTATTACAATAAGGGATACATGAATGTAAAGAAAAATATACCGTTTATTTTCAGTTACAAATGTTGGATGCGTGAGTCACAAGGCATACGTCCAATCTGTAATTCAGTTCGTTCCCTACATTTTGTAGCATCACTTTATCAAAAGGATTTGTAATGCTGCACAAATACTTACTTATTGCCCTTTGCTATTTTTTATATCAATTGTCGATCATGCGGCTTCAAATTTAATTATTTGTGTAAAACTTTTCATACCTTATTCTGGGGCATTCCATGTCCACTGGGGGTAATTCTCGTAGGAAAAAACTCTTTGTTATTATCACCATGTTTGAATTTTTAATCATAGTGGTCCTGAATGTACTGCAATCTGTTGATCATTGGTAGGAACAAAACTTGATATATTTATCTTTACATTCATGTATCACTTATTGTAATACGTACAGTAGTTTCAATAACACGATTTTTTAAAATCGGGTCCATCTTTTATGATAACTCTGTATAGCTATCGGTTTCTTTGTTAAGCGACTTTTCCTATTTATATTTCAGTCATTTGAATTTCTTACCACGACTTATAAAATTTATAATTTACAAAGTCTAGTAATCATACACTTTTTAACATAGCCAACTCACTTAAATCTCGCCAGATTATTTCGCGGAATAACTCGCAGCTCTTGAAGTGTTTTCGCGTACATTTTTACTTACATTAAAATATCAAGTAACTTTTAACATTTTTTAATCCACTGAGGGCAATAATTCTCGAATTTCGTCGAGATCTACTTTAAAAGGTTCCTAACATTCCGAACTTCTTTTTAAGAACATATTTGAAAACTCCAATTTTTCATCTGTGCAAAGCTACCAAGTCATCTTAATTATCCGACAAAATAAAATTAATTTCAATGAATGCGAAAACACTTAAGTTATAAGGAGACCTTATTTACCTCTTAAACATAAATGTTAAAGAGTAAACCAAAAAATTTACATAAATTTAAAATTTTAATTTTTAAGGTCTAAAACCTCTTAAAATCTGAAGAAATTAATTGAATTAAATTTAAGTAGTATTTAACTTAGTGAGTTGTTAGCTTTTATCTAAGCATCATAGCTTTGTTCGAGTAGCAAAGAGTAGTGCCTGGTGCTTTACTTCAAGAATAATATTTTTGACAAATTTTACTAGTCATTTTTGGACACTTTGTGAAGTGTCTATCCACGATCTTTCAACTTATCCTCTTGAACAAATCATTCTTTAACTGTGCTTTGAGTTTAAAACAGCTTTTTGTAGAGATGACTTGATTTTATTCTAATGTAAATGCTATTTAAACCCTGGCAAGGGGTGTGTTAAAATTAACCCTGGATCATTAATCGTGAATCAAAGTAGCTAGTCTTTAATCGTTAGTAATGAATCGTCCATCCTTAAGTTATTATTTAAGCTAGAACTTCAGGAGAAAGGGAAAAATATAGAAGCTGATTAGAAGAGGAGTTTGGCAGTTTTGGGAAGAGCTGTCAAGGGATCTGCAAGCGAAACAACAGATAAGTTTACATTTGATAACCTTATAAGTTAGATTAAGCAATTAATCAGGATTTCTCCTAAGGTTATTAAACTTTAAGAAATCATACACTGATTATAAATTGATAAGTTTGAAGTAAAAGTAATTATTTTTATAACCATGTCTGTGCTTCCTCAATGACCCAAGCTACACCCTCAACCTCCCAGTAGCAACAACTTATATATACTTTTGTACACTTTTTGTTCAGGAACTTTAGTTTTTCAATCCAATTAAGTTATTTTGATTTTGATTAAAATACATAATTAATAAACGAATTTATGCTAATAATATCGGGAAAAAAATAGATGCCTTATGCTTCCAAAAGTTGTAATTTTAAAATGGTTATTAAAATCTAAAGTGAATAGGATTCTCATTAGAATTGACGATCACACAAAAGGTCGAAAGACATTGCAATAATTTTAATATTTTCATTGAGTTCAACCTGAAGTACATATTGGTTAAGTATGAGGGAGGAGAGATATCAACACACATACAATCTACTTCCAATCAAATATCGAAAATCCACTTATATTTCTAAGACTGTGCGACCATCTCATTGACCTAATGAGAATTACGGGTACTTGCCAAATAAACACACAGAAAATAGCTTTTCCCAGAATTAATTGATTCACTCCACTTCTTACTTCAGAGCCATTTAAATAGCAATGCTCATTAGCAAATATCTTGGTTCTTTCGCAAAGCAATGCTCTCAAATAAAATGAGGTTATCAGGAAATCTCAAAGATTCACCAATGAATGGTACGAATGCATAAGAACCCACTACAACTCTTAATCTTTCTGTTATTTGCTTTTAAGTTATTTATACATTATATTAAATTAACTACGTAGAACTGTGCATAGAATGTATAAGATTAAAAATGTTTATTCAAATCCAAAGATTAGTCAATCTCTCCCTATATATATATATCTTGTTCACAAATTTTCAATCGTTAATAAAATACTTTTTATTCATCCACTCAAGTTCAAATATAATTTTTTAAACGTGTATTGGGTGACACTTGATGTTAATACATTTTTTTTCAAATATTAACTTATTAATTAAATTAAAAAAATGTATAAATGGTAACAAATGAAAATAATAGTTCAACAACATACATAGAAAGGAAAATCGTTCGTTGTGTCCTTGTAGAACAATGGATAGCCCTTTGGACTTCTAATCCAAAGGTCGTTGGTTCGAATTCCACCTGGGATTGTCTAATTTCCAAGAATGTGATTTCTTCTTCACTATACTATTTTATCAGAATAATTAGATTTAATTAATGAATAAAAAGTAACAATCACACACACACACAAAAAAAATTGTCCAACACCATATACAGAAAAGAAAATGGAAAATCGCTTTCTATTTTGTCATTTAATATTGGGATTCTGTCATATGTATATACTTATTTATATTAATTGTAATTATTTAATAAAAAAAGACTAAAATAAAATTCTTCTTTGTTAACCTAAAAATAAGAATTTAGACTTAATTTTTTTTATATATTATTTGCTTTAAAGTAAGAATTATAATGAGTGTGATTATCTGTATTTTTGTTAAATATAATGGGAATATTATTGGAGGCTTTGCAATATACGTATTAGAAGGGGAAGCTTTGAGTTGTTTTTAAATAACGACGTAAGGTAAAAAATATTCAATATAAGAGAATCCACACTAAGCTTTATAAAAAAAATTTAAAATACTTAAATTATGTGTTTTTGCTAAGCGTTACACTCATTACATTTTTCTTTGAAATTAATAATATTGCTTATTTTAAGGTCAGATTTCAATTGGTAATTAATTGGAACAATTGCCCAGGCAAATAAAGCTGTCTTTAATTATAATACGTGTTCTTTTGAGCAAACGTGAGTTTTTTATTTTCTTTAGAAATTTCAATGCTTGAATACATATTTACTTTCACAAATAAAAAAAATACTTTGATATTAAAGTGCAAAATTGAAGAAATTATCATAATATTTTATATACGTATAATTATAATATTTAAACTGGGATGAAAACCAAAATAAAACCTATTGTTATTATATGAAAATAAAATAAGAGTACATAATATTTTGAGACATTATTTGAAAAAAGGCCACAGGTTTATTCTCTGTGATAATAAAAGGACAATTTTAAAAAAGAAATTAATGTCTAATTACCAACGAAACTAGAGTTCTCATCTAAACTAAAGGAAAATAATTATTTATTATTTATTCTGTGTAAAATAATGTTTAATTTAATATTGAAGTTTTACTTAAATATTTACCAGTTTTGAATTAAAATACAAAATATACTGATGAGAAGAAAAATAGGATTGCAAATAAAATTTGATTCAAATGATTGGGACACAGTACGATTCAAATGATAAAAATCAGTCAAAAAGTCAAATCTAATTTTGTTAGTATAAATTATCTTTTATATACTTTTCGATAATCTCACAAAATTTGAAAGCTCTTAAGTTTAAAAAAATGCAGAGTTATGATAACTTTTACGTTCGTTTTTATACACTTCTCAATGGCAAATCCAAACTTTAAACTGATTGATCTCAAAAATATATAACTAGTTTGTCTTCATTTAAAATGCTAAGGCTTTTTTTTATTCGGGCAAATGCTTTACTATTTTTTCTAGCTATTGCTAATAATATATGTAAAAAAAGACGGTATGAATTTTTGAATCAAAGCAATGCTTATTTTTTAAAAAATAATTGAATTTAGAATTTATACATTACTTAAAGTATTTTCAATAAATTTTCATAAAAAGAAGTATTTTATAAATACCAATCATATTATCACAAATCCCATACCAACTTTTGAAAAAAATAGTAGGACGTATTTGTAAATCAAATTTCATGTGTGTATATCAAGTATTATAGGAGGAGGAGTAGCATTTTAAAATCCCTTCGTAAATTTTAATTTGTTTTCTTTAAAAAATTAAATAGTTAATTTTTTATGGTACTTTGAGCGCAAAATGTTTTACATAATAAAAACACATAGGGGGCATTAAAAGAAATTTGAAAACCATTAAATTAAAATTTTACTTACCGTAAGGTTGTTTTCCTAATTTAAAAAAATGGGGGCTGAACCCAAAATTTTTTCGAATGAAAGCACTCAAACATTAATATTATATTCTGGCTACACTACCCTGAAGAATCACTTATTTTATCATTTTTTTTTTTTATTCAGTTGAAAATTTTTTTCTTTTTAAAAAAAATTTCCACTTTTCCCCTAACCGAAATGCAAATGGGGGCATCCTTTACATGTTAAAGGGAAAAAACTAATTTTTTAAAAAAATTTTAAAATTTTTTAAAAACCCTTTATTATAAACAAATGAATGAGTTACAATGTCGCAAATTTATATAAAAACTGAAGCACCTTTTCTGTCCGAAAATGTGCTCCGTGTTAAGTTCACGCTCTTGTGTATGTGGTGAAAACAGCCTTAAGTTGATTAATTTTTCTTCATCTCGTTGAACAAAGCAGAATATCAACAAAATGGACTCAGTACAGAAACAAACGTGTCTAGAATTATAAAATTCGAAAATGGCGAGAGAGAGAAATGAGAATGGTGAGAATTCAGAGAAATGAAACTCGGAAAAAATGAGGAAAGATAATCACCCTCCCCAATTGTTACCTCTTTTCTACAATGCAAGTTTCACAGCAGAAACAACGTGCTGTGGTCAAACTTATACTCAATGGTCTTGAAAGTGTTACTTTTATACTTTGAACACTGAAATTTACAATGAGTAATTTCAAGATGTTTGGAATGTTTTTAGGAGTTTCTTAGATTATCAGATTAATCATTTTCTCTTAAAAGTAATCAGATTGTTTTAGGATCTTTATTGCAATATTGGTACAAATACAATTTGTGGACGTTTACAAAGAATTGCTCATAAGTTGAATTGGCATTATATTTAAAGGTAACATGTAAATATTAAATACTACAGAAAATACATGCAATTTTTTCCTGGTAAGTTGACTAAATAGCTTGTTTATTTCAATATAAAAAGTGTTTTATATTTTTAACTTGGATATTATTTTTATCATGTTCTCTTTTTTTTTTTTTTATAATTTTCCTAAATATTACGATCTTGAAGTTTAAACTACTTTCAAATTCAAATAAATTCAATTAACATGAATTCGGCTTACGTTATTTTTCCTATACCTTATATGAAAATTCAAAAATTAAATTAATTCAAACAATGGTGAAATTTGTTCGCTTTTATGAGCAATTAATTTTTATTTCTAAACTAGAAAACTTAAAATACACACATATTTTTTTTTACTCCTTCTTTTCCTTCAAGTAAAAAATAAACAAAATTATGCAGAATATTGAAAATTTTTATTTCAATAAACAAGTTGAAATTCTACGCCGCTCTTTCTATTCTAATTAAATGATGTAACCCTTATTTTATTATAGCTATAAAATATATTGCGTAAAAAGTGAAATAAAGTTTCTTATGATAAAAGTTTATGATACATATTTTTTTTTTAAGCTTTTTTAATTTTTTTTGGGGGAACTCTGTATCATTTTTGATGTTCATTATCGAAGGAAAAGCTGAATCATTCATAAATAGTTTTCTCAAAAGATTGAAAGGTGCATCAAATAAAAGTTCTAAAGAGGATACAACGCCCAAAAAAAATGTTCCCCAATGAAGAACGATTCATTTAAAAAAATCGTTTTATACAGAATCTGCTTCAACACAATTTATCGTTCTTTCTCAAACATTTATCACTTTTTATTTTTTCCACGATTTCTTTTTAATATAAT